AACCTTTCTCTTTCCATAAATCTAGAGTCCTCAGCTGCTCCCTCTCTCCATGTCCTCATCTCTGCCTCCATCTCTGGTGTCGCTGCTTCTCTGAATAAGGTCTGGCATTTCGTTTGTGCTCTTCTCCCTGGTCCTGGGGTCCTCTGTTCCTAGACTATAAGATTAATGACTCCCCCCTTTTTGTTACAAAACTTCTACCTTTACAGTTTTGACAATCGCAATTAGTCATGGTAGCAATTATTCGCTTTTTAATCATAAGAATCTTACCCCAATCTCCTTTCAGCAGACCCTTCTAAGACAACATGAAAACTATCCAGTGGGGAGTCCACCTTTACCCCCACACTCTGAAACTGAACTCTCTCATGAAACTTTGTAATCCAGTCGCTTAGTGCCTTTATAACCACCACCACCATCCCCATTTTAGGTAGCCAGTGTCTAAGTTGCCCATCCCTCTCAAACCTGTATACAGAGGGGATAGAATTGATACTTGATGTGAAGACTCCTTCCCTCTCAGTTGGTATAGGTCAAGTTCATCAAACTGTAGCAATTTACACTTGTTTCCTTTATCAAAAATTGTTTTTTTTCATCTTCTTCTAGTCGAGTTCTGATCATCAAGCCATCAAGGCTAGGTCGAAGGAGTACTATGTTCAAGTTTGGGTGTTCTTGTGCCCTCACTTCATATGGCTGGATGCTTCACTCTTAGCTCTAGCTCTCCATGGGCTTGTCCCTGGGCTCAGGAGTCCCCAGGTCTCACCACACTTCAGAACCAGCCCTTCCTCTTCTCTTATCTCCAGGTGGCTGGGAATCTATGCAATGTGTTTGAACTCAGCCTGTTATCTTCATTGCTACCTTTCCCCCTCTTCCACTAACTAGCTGATCAACATGGTCCCTGGCAAACTTATGTGCCTGCTCATGTGTTCCCTTTGTCCCTTTGAGTTTCAGTCGGGGGGGGGGGGGGGGGGGTTGTCCTGAAGGGACTTGATTGCTTGCCTTGATGGCGCCTCTCAGAGGGCTTTTGAGCAGGGATCTATATAATAAATGTTGGCTTAACATCTTTTTTTGGCTAAGTTTGGGGAAAAAACAAGGATAGAAAGATCGTCTCCAAATGAATGATTAATGGAACCCGGTTTCACAGGCGGCATCAGAAGGAAGGCAGGTGAATTTTGTAGAAATAGATTCAACAGAACAGGGTCTGTCAAACTGGTGTTCAAACACTTAGCTCCCCAGAACTTGACTCTCCACTTACTAAGCAAGCATGACAGCACCTGCCTCATAGGGTCATTGCGTAGCATGTTAATTATTCTTAAGGAAGCATTTAGTAAAGCACCAGCACATGGCGCTCAGTAAACGTTAACGTCCCTGATGTTACTACCAAATAGGAATTAGGAAGGAAACAGGGCTAACAAGGGAAGCAAAGATCTCAGTAGCTAGGAGTGTAGCACCTGACGATTTGGATCCAAGCTCCACTTCCCAGTTGTGAACTTATACAGGTTACTTATATATACAGTGAACTTATACAGATTATCTATAGCGTAGTGGTTACAAATCGGGCTGCTAACCTCAAGGTCAGCAGTTCGAAACTACCAGCTGCTCTGCGGGAGAAAGATGTGGCTTTCTGCTCCCGTAAAGACTTGCAGCCTTGGAAACCCCGTGTAGGGTCTCTGAGTCAGAACCAACTCCACAGTACTTAACAACAACAAAATATCAGTTTTCTTAGCTGTAAATTGGGCATAGTGTTAATTCCTCCCCCATGGAGATGCGGTGAGAACCAAGTGAGATAAAACGTCAATAACACGTGTCTGGTACATTTTATGAGCCAGTTACTTTGCTATTGGATGAGGGAGCCTGAAGCATTGACTAGAGTTACCCCTTCCATTTGTCATGCTGCATGTGCAAGTAGGGGTGGAGACATGCAGCATGGGACCTGGGAGAACGCTCAAGGCTGGAGGTAAGACGAGACTTCAAAAAGTTCGTGAAAAACTTCCATTATCTTTCCATTACATTTTTCCATGAACTTTTTGAAGCCCTCTGGTATTTAGAACTCACTGACAGAGGCGGTAAGCCAACAGTGTAGTAAGTGGCCTGTGGAAGTAACAAGGCAAGTCTAGGACATAGGACAGGAAGGTGTTTACTTGTGCTTTATTGACTATGCAGAGGCTTTCGACTGTGTCGATCACATCACACTATGAATAACATTAGGAGGACTGGGTATTCCAGAACATTTGATTGTGCTCATGAGGAACCTGTACATAGACCAAGAGGCAGTCATTAAAACAGAAGAATGGGATACCGAATTGTTTAAAATCAGGAAACGTGCACATCAGGGTGGTATTCTATCACCATATTAATCAGTCTGTATTCTGAGCAAATAATCCGAGAAGCTGAAGAAAAATGTGGCATCAGGATTGGAGGAAGACTCATTAACAACCTGTGATATGCAGATAACAAAACCTTACTTGCTGGAAGCAAAGAGGACTTGGCTGACTGACTGATGAAGATCAAAGACTCCAGCCTTCAGTATGGATTGTACCTCAATGTAAAGAAAATGGAAATCCTCACAACAGAACTAGTTAAATAACATTACGATAACTGGAGAAAAGATTGAAGTTGTCAAAGACTTCAATTTGCTTGGATTCCCCAATCATGGAAGTAGCAGTCAATAAATCAAACAATGTATTTATTGCATTAAGCAAATCTTCAGCAAAAGACCTCTTAAAAGTGTTAAAGAGTAAAGATGTCAGTTTGAGGTCTAAGTTGCGCTTGACCCAAGCCATGGCATTTTCATTCATCTCAAGCATGTGGAAGTTTGGACAATGAATAAGACTGGAGAAGAATCAATGCATTTGAATTATGGTGGTGGTGTTTTTGTTAGGTGCCATCGAGTCGTTACCAACCCATAGCAACCTTATGCACAGCAGAATGAAATACTGCCCAATCCTGGGCCAGCCTCACCACTGTTGCCACGCTTGAGTCCATCGATGCTGCCACTTGGCCAATCCATCTCATTTGGGGTCTTCCTTTTTTTCTGACCCTTCATCTTCCCAAACATGATATCCCTCTACAGTGACTGGTCCCTCCTGACAATATGTCCAAAGTATGAGAGATGAAGTTTGGCCATCTTGGCATTATGGTGTTGGAGAGTATTAAAATTACCATGGACTGCTAGAAGAACCAATCAATCAGTTTTGAAAGAAGCACATCCAAATGCCTTTTAAAAGCAAGTATGGTGAGACTTCATCTCGTGTACTTTGAACAGGTTGTCAGAAGGGACCAGTCCTGGAGAAGAGCATTATTCTTGGTGAAATGGAGGACTGACACATTGGCAGCAACAGTGGGCTCAAATGTAACAATTATGAGGATGGTGCAGAACTAGGTGGTGCTTTGTTCTGTTGTGCATAGGGTCACTATGAGCCAACTCAACGGCACCTACCAACAACATATGACAGCTATCCATGGCTCTTCAAAAACTGTGTCAGAAAAAAGCAACCAGTAAGTGGGGTGTTCTAGAATGTTGTTGGTTGCCATCAGGTTGGTTCTGACTGAAGTACAACAGAATAAAACACTGCCATCCTCAGTATTGGAAAAAGAGGCCTGAGGAAAAATTGTTTAGAATTAGCCTACATAAGGAAATGACATGTAATTAAAAAAAAAAAAATCAAGGGAGGAATTTCAAGAAGGGACAGAGTAAGCAAAATGAAAGCTGGGAAAAAAGTCATTTGGTGATTGGGAGATTGTGTTGGTTTCTTAATTCAGTGTAGGATGGAAATTTGACAGCAAACAAAAGTACAATGGGGAGAAAGTATACAAAGGGGAGGAAGTGTAAGCAGCAAAGACTACTTGGCCTTCTTAGGTGATGCTGAGCTCCAGGTATCCAGGCTGCAAGTCTTTCTTTTTAGTGTACAAGGGAGACTGAGTACTGTTAAGAAGGAAAGTCTGAGGAAAGTGAGGGAATGAGACAGACGAAAAGAAAATTGCTAATGAAGCAAAGGCCCAGTAAAGGCAGAAGAGAAATGGAATGAAACCAGGAGGAAGAGGTAGCTTTGGACAGGAGGAGTGCTTTCTTCTTTAGTTCAAACTGAGGACTGTAAAGGCATACAGGGAAAGGAATGATCTTCCTAGCAACATGCTAGCAAGGAGGCAGGAAGTGGGGGAAAATGCAATAGCTGCCAGAGGATCTAAAACGGTCAAGAAGATGGCCAGGGAGGGTGGGTGAAACTGGTATTTGCAGGGGGAATTCTTTAAAACAAAAGTCTGCACTGAGATCCAGGAAATGCAGAATTCCAGATGAAGGTAAAGAGCAGTCAGGGAAACAAAAGTTCCCTTTTTCAGAACATGGAGCTGCACAAAGATTGTTCTTGATTGCCTTTGGGTTGCTTCAGACTCATAGCAACACTGTATAGGGTTTCCAAGGGCAGGCTGCTGGATTTCAACAGAGTACCTTGAGGTTAGCTGGTGCTACACCACCACACCTAGAAATGAGTAGAACTTTTTTTCTTTTTTGGAGGGGTGGGGGAACTGTAAGGTTCCAGGCCCAAGCTTTGTCTTCATGTAACCTCCACCACCTTGGGCTGATCTGGCTGCTGTATAGGCACATGGTGTGGTAAGTGTTTGGCATATAAAGTTTCTGTACGTAACAAGTCACCAAGTAAAAGGTTTTGGCCCTAAGTGGTCATGGGACCAGTTTATCCAAATTCTCCAGAGGTACACGAACTCTGGTTCTGAAAGACAATCCCAGTTAAGGATTTCCCTTCTGTGCTACTCCACCTCAGCAAGTAGGCCCACTCAACATCATCAAAGGGGGCTGGGCGGCGTTAGGTTTGCAGACATCCACAGGTAACTAGAAAGAGGAACACAGTTTTCTTTAGATTCTGGTTTCCCATGGACATCAACTGGCAGGCCACACATTTGGAGGCTGCGATTCCATAGTCCCAGGTGCTGCTAGAGATGTAAGGACCACCCTTGCAGTAGCGCTGGTACGGAGTGGTGGTTGTGACCAAATTCTACAGGACTTTCGTTATTATGTAGTCGTCCATCTCCCTGTCCAGTTCCTCTTTGAGTGGAATCTGCAGCGGGACTGGAACCACACCCAAACTGCATCCCCTGCGGCTCACTTCCCGCAGCAGCGCCTCTCGCTCCGCCAGCAGCTGCTGCCGCGCCTGAGCCACGGCGCGCTCCTCCTCCTGCAGTGCTCTCCGCCGCCGTTCCAGGGCGCGCTCGCCCTGCTCCACAGCCGCTTCCCGCCGCTCCAGCTCCCGCTCCCGTCGGCTGGCGCGGAAGGCCAGCGCACCCATCTGCTCCAGCAGGCGTGCCCAGTCGCCCTCGGCGGCCGCAGCCGGCGGCGGTGCGCAGGGAGCTGCGGGTGGCTCGTGCCTCGCGCCGCTCTTCTCCAGCTCCCACCGGTGCACACTCTTCAGGTGCTTCCACAGCGCCTGCGTCCCCGCGTGGAAACTGGGACTGCACCTCACCTGGTCTCCGCACAGCCGGCAGGTGGCCCAGTAGCCCGACGCGTGCCCGGGGCGCGCTGGGGCCAGGTGAAAGTAGCCCCAGGCTTCGGAGTATAGCGCCCCCAGGCGGCCAGGAGGTGCCAAGCCCGGCGCTGCAGCATCTTCCGGGTCGCAGGTTTCTTCCATGCTCACAGCCAGCTCCTCACTCATTCTTCCTGCAGCTGCGAGGGGAAAACATAAACATATATACAGAGGTGTGTAAACCCCATGAAAGCTGGAACCTGTGTACGGTGGAAACCCTGCACAAAAAAGAAAATTCAAATCTTTTCCACTGAAATGAGTGCACCCTGTCACAGGCGGAAAGCTTGGAAGAGCTGGAAAACAGCTGTTCTGCTAATGTTGTTGTTGTCAGGTGCCACTGAGTCGGAGATGACTCACAGCGACCCCATGCACAGCAGAAGTAAACTATGTCCGATCCTGGGCCAACCTCACTACCACTGCCACACTTGACACCATCAATGATGCCACCTGGCTGATCCATCTCGTTGGGGGTCTTCCTCTTTTTCTCTGACCCTCCACCTTACCCAACATGACATCCTTCTCCAGCGACTGTTCTCTCCGGACAATGTGTCTGCTAATGCCGGCATGTAATTTCTACGATTACAGTTAGCCTATGAAGAAAGCTGGTCTCCCTTTTTTATTATAGCTTTAAATCCTTTTGTTAGTGTGGGTAGGAATATTCTGCATGATTGTTGGTTTCTGAGAAGAAAAAAAAGTTTAATGTATAGGCCTTCTTATAGTAGGAATTCTTTTCTAAATTGGATCTCGAACTAACAAAAATTTACACTAAATATGTTAAGTCAAGCTCCTTGAATGGAAAGGACTGGTTAAGTAATCACATAGTTAAGTGCTGTGTGTATATACTAAGGCTTTAACCAGTTTTCACTTTTTGTCTATTTCAGGAGCCGTGGTGGCACAGTTGGGTTAAGAGTTGGACTGCTAATCATAAGGTCAGTAGTTCAAGCCTACCTGCAGCTCCGTGGGAGAAAGAGGAGGCTGTTTGCTTCTTTAAATACTTACAGGCTCAGAAATCCAGGCAGTTTTCCTCTGCTCTAAGGAGTCAATCTTAGTCAAAACTAACTATTGATGGCAATGAGTTTGATTTGATGCGATGTTACTGGGTTGTTTTTTCCCCTCAGAATAAGATTATGGTTTCTTTTTGTAATCTTCTTTGGGAACTTCAGAGCAAACTTTGGAAATACTTACAAAATAAAACTGGGGGAGTGAAAATTTGTTTCTTAAGTTTAGGGGATGAAGGGCCAATGGTAAAAACAGACTTTTTTCAAGATGCAACTATCTTTCCTTTTGATGATAATGAAACAAGGAGCCTCTGTGAAAATTAGCTATACTAGCACACATAAAATTGCTTAAAATTATGCAGGTTTGGGACATTGTTGTTGCTGTTGTTAAGTGCCATCGAGTCGACTCCGACCCATAGCGACTCTGTATAGGGTTTCCAAGGAGCAGCTGATGAGCTTGAACCACCGACCTTGCAGTTCAAATGACTTTGCAGTCTGACACATTAGCCCACAGTGCCACACCAGGACACACTAACATACAAAGCAGCTTTCTAAACGTTTACCTTTAAATTAGATGGTGGGCCACATCCCAAGGGCCTTAGGGTCTGCGTCATTGCCTCCAGTCAACTGTGTCCCTGAGGCAGAAACACTGCGACATGGTGTCTGAGCTCTGGAGACCCATCAGCAATGCTAGGAGCAAATTCATAAGGCAGGCGATGATAAAAGTAATTCCATTAACCACTCTTCAACATAAATATAAACTAAGAAGACAGACTAGTGCTAAGTCCTTCTGGTCTACATTTTTTACCCTTTCATTGGCTTTCGAGACATAAAATACATAAAATCTGTTTGTTTGTTTTTTTAAATTACTCATCCTAGCTAAATGCCCCCCTTTATATATATGCAAAGTATCCCTGGTGGTACAACAACTAAGTGCTCAGCTGTTAACCAAATGGTCAGCAGTTCAAATCTATCAGTAGCTCCAGGAAGAAAAGACCTGATAATCTGGATGCTCCCATAGAGATTGTTGTTAAATGCTGTTGAGTAGATTCCGACTCATGGTGATCCTGTATAGGGTTTCCGAGGAGCAGCTGGTGGGTATGAACCACCAACCTTGTTGTTCGCAGTCCAATGCTTATCCTATAGTGCCATACCAGGAGTGACAGCCTAGGAAACCTGATGGGACAGTCTTACTCTGTAAGATAGGGTTGCTATTAATGGAAACTGACTGGATGGCTTATAATAATGACACCTATTTTTAAGTTACAAAGCTTGGCCATACTTTAAATGAGGAAAGAATATTAAAGCTGTGTAATAGCTTTTTTGCTTTGTCCAAAACATGTCCATGTAAAGGGATTCACATGGAATGAATCCAATGACTATCCTTCAAGTCTTTCCTAGCAAGAGAACAATTTTCCACAGCAAATAACCTATTACAGAAGGGGAGTAAAAACGGTAAAGATCACTGTTGAGGAAGTTCACAAAGGACCAAATCTGCTTTGAAAACTCAAAAATAAGAGCACACTTGAAAGTTTCCTGGAGCTCTTCTGAGGATTATTTTGAAGGCGAAAAAATCAGGACCAAAGTTGGAGAATTATGCACAGTGAGACTGTCAATACTGTAAGGTTGTGAATCAGAATCTCTCTTGTTATATGCACCTGGGAATGGTTGCGGGTGGTGGGGGGTGCGGGGAAGACAACAGGAAAAATATGCTGCTATTTGTCTATCAGTTTGTAGCACTGTGGTGGCTTGCATGTTGCCGTGATTCTGAAAGCTATGCAACCAGTATTTTGAATGCTAGCAAGGTCACCCATGGTGGACAGGTTTTAGCTGAGCTTCCAGACTAAGACACACTCAGAAAAAGGAGAGGCTGACCATTTCCGAATGTTCAGCCACTGAAAACCTCATGAATGGCAGCAGAATAGCACCAGAATACTGAACACTGAAACATGATGAACAGCACCAGAATACTGTCAGACGTACTGCCGGAAGATATGACTCTCAGGTTGGAAGGCACTCAAAATACAACTGGGGAAGAGCTGCCTCCTCAGAGTAGAATTGACCATGATGACGTCAATGGAGTAAAATTTATGGAACCTTCATTTGTCAATGGAGCATAACTCAAAATGAGGAGAAAGAGCTGCAAACATCCATTAATAACTGGAACATAGAATGAATGAAGTATGAATCTAGAAAAATTAGAAGTTGTCAAAAATGAAATGGAATGCATAAACATTGATATCCTAGGCAGTAATGAGCTGAAATGGACTGGGATTTACCATGTTGAATCTGACAACCACATGGTTTACTATTACAAGAATGACAAACTGAAGAGGAATAATGTTGCATTCATCATGAAAAAGAACATTTCACGATCTATCTTGAAGTATAATGCTGTCTGTGATAGGATAATATTCATAGGCCTAAAAGGAAGACCAATTAATACTACTATTATTCAAATGTATGCATCAAACACCAAAGCCATTGATGATGAAATTGAAGACGACTACCAACTTTTTTAGTTTGAAATTGATCAAACATTCAATAAACATGTATTGATCATTACTTGTAATTGGGATGCAAAGGTTGGAAACAAAGAAGAAGGATCAGTCTGGAAAATATGGCCGTGGTGATAGAAACAATCCTGGAGATTGCATGATAGAATTTTGCAAGACCAATGACTTCTTCATTGTAAATACAAAAATTAAACAAAAGATAATTATACATACAGACTTTACAAGATGGAATACACAGAAATCAAACTGACTACATCTGTGGAACAGGACAGTGGAAAAGCTCCATATCATCAGTCAAAGCAAGGTCAGGGGCAGATTGTAAAACAGACTTGTTCATATGCAAGTTCAAGCTGAAGATGAAGAAAATTAAAACAAGTCAAGAGCCAAAATATGATCTTGAACATATCCCATCTGAATTTACAGATCATTTCCAGAACATATTTGATGCATTAGACAGTAATGACCAATATCCAGAAAAGTTGTGGGATGACATCAAGAACATCATACAGGAAGAAAGTAAAAGGTCATTAAGAAGACAAAGAAGAAAGAAAAGACCAAAATGGATGTCAGAAAAAACTCTGAAACTTGCTCTCCAACATAGAGATGCTAAAGCAAATGGAAGAAATGAGGAGGTAAAAGAGATGAACAGAACATTTCAAAAGGCAATTTGAGAAGACAAAGTTAAATATTATAATGCATTCTCAAGCTTAAAGAACTGAGGAAAAATTTTACGCCTTGACTTGGAATACTGAAGGATTCTTTGGGCGAAATATTGAATGATGCTGAAAGCATCAAAATAAGATGCAAAAAACACAGAATCACTGTACCAAAAAGAAATGGTCAGTGTTCAACCATTTCAAGAGGTAGCTGATGATCAAGAGCCAATGGTACTGACAGAAGTCCAAGGTACACTGAAGGCATTGGCAAAGAACAAGGCTCCAGGAATTGAAGGAATACAAACTGAAATATTTCATCAAACTGATATAGCACTGGAGGCACTCACTCATCTATGCCAAGAAATTTTTTTCTTGTGCCTGAATTTGTGCCCATTCCAAAGGTGATCCAACAGAATGTGAAAATCATCTAAAAAAAAATCATTAATATCACATGAAAGTAAAATTTTTCTAAAGATAAGTTTTAAATGACTACAATAGGACATTGCCAGAGAACTGCTAGATGTTCAAGCTGAATACAGATAAGGGGAATGTGGGGTATCATTGCTGATGTCAGATGGATCTTGACTGAAAGCAGAGAATACCAGAAAGATGTTTAGTGTGCTAAGACTTTTGACTGTGTGGATCATGACAAACTATGGATAACATTGTGGAGAATGAGTATTCCAGAACACTTAATTGTGTTCATGAGGAACCTGGACACAGACAAAGAGGGAGTTGTTCGAAAAGAACAAGGGGGCACTGAATGGTTTAAAATCGGGAATACTGTGTGCCCGGGTATTCATTCACCATAGTTATTCAATCTGTAATCTGAGCAAAGAATAAAAGAAGTTGGATTATATGAAGAAGGTGGCATCAGAATTGGAGGAAAACTCTTTAACAACCTGCAAAATGCAGATAATACAACTCTGCTTGCTGAAAGCCAAGAGGACTTAAAATAC